GAGGTGGTCAGGAGCTCCCAGATCTACCGCATCAGAATCTGCCTCTTAAGAGGATCCCCCAAAGACTCCACACCTATGAAACACTGCTCTGACCTGGTGTCTAGACAAAATCACTTTATATCCAGCCAATGTGTTCATGCCTTCATACAAGGGAGAGAGCACCCCACACACTAAGCTTCAGCAAAGACCTCAGGCGGAGCTCAACAGTGAGGCCCTGAAAATGAGTGGGATGCTGCAGAGCCCTAGCAACCACTGTCCTGCATGCAGTGCAGCAATGCGCCTGCCCTGAGCTGTACCTTGCAACACAGTCTTAGGCAACCCCAACCTTTAGTGGCTTTGCCGGGATTTACTAGCACTCTGCCAATGGCACTCTCTGTGGAGTGAGTAGTTTACTTCCAAATGCTTGGCACTGCAGAAGCCCTTCACTCAAAACTTCACAGCACAGAGAGAGAACACACTTTCCTCCGACTTCTAGGGCAACAGCCATAAGGAATCACATCACAAACTTGAAGCACTGTAAAACCTCCTGCTTTACACACACACTTCTATGCAGCTTTTCACATCCTATTTCATGATCTATGCTTGCTTCATGACAAAAACATCTGCCCCACATGTTTTCCAGTAAAAATTGGTGATATTCTACTTATCAGGGGTCCCCAACCCTTGGGTATCAGTCCATCAATGGAAAGCAGGTACAGCAGAAGGTGAGTGGCAGGTGAGCAAGGGAAGGTTCATCTGTATGTAAAGCCTCTCCCCTCACTGACATCACCACCTGAGCTCCGTCTCCCGTCAGATCAGCAGCAACATTAGGTTCTCATAGGAGTGCAAATCCTACTGTGGACTAAGTATGGGAGGGTTCTAGGTTACACACTCCAATGAGACTCTAATCCAGAAACCATCATTCCTCCTACCTGCCACGGTCTTCCACAAAAGCAGTCCCCAGTGCCAAAAGGCTGGAGACCACTGCTATTTATCACTCAACTTCCCTTCCACATAGCTCTTGTTGCACATCTACAGCTTGACCTACAGCTTGAGAAGCATAAGTTCACCCTGCGAGGCTTAGAATTACAAACAGCCCTCTTAGACTTTGCTAACAAAGTTGGAGTTCTTACAAAAGACCAATTGCTCACTGCTGAAGTAAAAAGGAAACAGGGCCTGGGGCATAAGGCAGCACTTGCTTAGTGTGTGTGTGTTGGGGGGTGCTCTTAGCTTGAACCCTAGCATTGCAAAATACATACATACACACATACATACATAAAAACAAACATAACAATGGATTTGGGACTGTTTGCCCTGGTCTTATCAGACACAAAAATATAAATGTTTAAATATAAATCAACTTCATGCCTTCTCCCGATAGGTCTTCAAAACATAAAATTCAGGTTATTCTTGCAACTTAAGTACCTCACAGGGAGCTGTACACATCCCTGAGTAAAGGTCAGGCTAATTTTTCAGGAAATAATACTGGCCCAGTCTAATTCTCCAATTCTACCCATGCTGATTTTGACTTTGTAGTTTCTTCTCTTTCCTGTATTTTAGTTGGAGCCATGCTCCTAATCACTAACACTTTCTCTCCAGGTGTTGCCTCATTCACAGAAATTAGAACCCCTAAATCACAGAAAGCCTTCTTTCTCCTTCAGTAGTACCATTATTACTAAGTAAATACTAGTTTTTAATGGTAGTTTATTTTACAAGTATTTTCCAAGTGAGATGAGATGGATGGAACAGCACTAATGTCCCGTCTTACTTTTTCACCTTAAGGAAAAAATAATAAGATTTCTTGTCTGTTTAACTGAAGTTGGCACTATCAGAATACTAATGCAGAACAGTCACTTTGAACATCTGAAATGGTTTTCTAAGGCACTGGGTTTTATTGCCTTTGTGTTGTTTAGTTTTTTTGAGACTGAGTCTCACTAAGTAGATCAAGCCAGCATTGAACTAACCACAGAGCCCAGGCTGTTCTTGAACTCACAGCAATTCTCTTGCCTCAGCCTCCTGAGTGCCAAGATTATACGTGTGTGCCCACACACCCAGCTCTAAGGCAGTGTTAAGAGCATTTCTTACCAGCACATTTGTAATCTTTCACCCCAAGTCAGAATGGGAGCTGGGTCAGCCCAGCTACAAACACCTCAGCTGCCCACAGGTCTGCCTGTGCAGGGAAACGGCACACTCTGCTGGGGAGAGTGTGGCTAAAGCAAGGACCTCTGGGGAAAGAAACTTCAGGGCTCCTCAGCGGACTCTGGATACAGAAGAGCTGTACCAGGACCTGTGGAGAACTGCCAGGAAGGCTGGCACCTTTATGCCCTGAGGATGGGGAACAGAAAACTGCAGAGGACAGAGATACTTGATTTGGGAAAAGAAGTCACAGGCAGAAGAAACCCATTGCAGCAGAGGAGGGAGGCGACAGAAGGAAGGCAAAGGCAAGCTCATGCACTAAAATGCACAGCACAAGTTTTCCACTGGTGGCGGTGCCCAGCTGATGGTCAGATACCCCAGCCCCAGTCCCGGGTGGAAGGCCCCCCAGGAAGCCCATGAGGCCACACCTAATAGCTCCCACCGGCCATCTCTGTTGCAGCCCAAGGCCTGTGCTTTCAGAGCTGCAGCGTTAAGGCACAGGGCCTTGAGCTCAGCTCCTGCCTCTGTGGTTCAGGGGACGTAACTAAACCCATTGCAAGCCTCCCCTCCCCAATCTGTAAAATGGGCATATGTACAAAAGTTACTCTCAGAAGGGACTAAGAATGAAAGGAGACCATTTATGTAAAGCATTTAGGAGGATATAAAAAGGGCATAATATGCATTATTACACTAATTCAGTCTCAAATTCTTTTAGTCTTTCTCTCAAATACATGGAACACTTACAATATCGCCCAGAAACTCTGCAATATTCCTTTCTACTAAAAGGAAGAAAGGAAGCATATGTGCCTATGAGAAACGGGAGGCACAGGAGGGAGAAATCACTGGGGAACAAATTCTACATTTGCAAGAATCTGAGCAATTGACTCGCCTTCCAATAAAAGCCATACTACCTGAGTGAACTGCAGGAACTATGGTAAGGAAAATGAATAAATGTGTGTGTGTGTGTGTGTGTGTGTGTGTGTCACAAGGAGCTAAGTGCCGGGAAACATCAGGAGAAGGACACTGGGAATGGCTACCTATAGTGGAGAAGATGCCATAGAAAACTGGTCAGCTGAGCCTTCTAGAAAAGGTGTTTTTAAGCAGTGCTTGGTGGGGCGGGGTGGCCAAGGGGACATGAAGAGTGGATCACACACCTGCAAAGGCCTGGGTACAGTCTGAATGAGGGGCACCTGTAGGAGCTTTGGTCCTACAGAAAAAAGGGCACATCCAGCAACCTTCACTAGTGCATGACACGGCTTAACTTCTGCAGGCTGATGAATCTGAGATGATTCCACTTAGGAACAGGAGAAGCAGCATCTATGAGAGGCCCTGCTCTGTTCAGTATTTTATCAGTTACTTATGTCTCAAAGGCCATGCTCATTAACTCTGCACACAGCTGTGCACAAACTATGGTTACCAGAATCATGGCTCAAAAAATCCCCCAAAGGACTGGCTGAAAGTCATGAACACTTCACAGGTGCAAAGTACTCACAGGAGGAGACAACCAAAAAGCTCCCCCGTGTAGAAAGGAGTTCAATTCAACTTCAAGTAGCAGTTCAAACCCAAAGGTCAGGATACAGTAAGGGTCAAGAATGTGAGCTAATTATTTAAAACAAAAACAGACTATAAAGTTACATCTACAGCAACAGAACAGTAACAGCTCAGTGGCAGGAAAGATACTCTGTAAGGGCCAAAGGCCTGGGGACAAGATGCTTAGTTTAAGGTCCCTCAAGAGGACAACCAGGAGACAAGACTTTGGCCGGAGGGGTGCCCAACAGTCACAAGGGCAAATAAACTGCAGAAGAGATGCAGATAGGCAGGGACTTCTAAGATCCTCGGTCACTTGAAGGACAGGAGGAGGTGAGTGCAAATTTATTCTGTGTGGCTTTAGAGGCCAAAACAGAACCAGAGTAAAATGTCAAAGAGCAGGACTTGGCTCAGTCTAAGGAGACTCTTTTGAAGGCTGAGAACTGTTCTAAGATGGAAAAGGCCACTTCATATGTTACCTGTGGCCCTTTCCACATCCCAGACACAGCACTAAGCATTTTAAAACCATTGCACTTCAATCTCCACAACCATTCCTAGTGAGGCCTGACCACCACACTCCAGGAACTGTTCTTATCTACAATGAAACTCTTACACACTCTGGGCTGTCATTCTGTTGCTTCAGACCCAGATAGCAGCTCAGTTACTCCTCCACAGCCTCCCTCAGCCCCTGTGCCATCCCTCTTCTCCCTCACCCTCTCAAGCAGTACTGGTAGGACCTGGGAGGACGTGGGCTCCCTCTGCAGGAGCCTTTCCTCTCCTCTGGGCAGTGGGACGGGAAGGCACAGCATGGACACACTGCTTACATTGGCAGAGAGAAATCCAAACACTGGCCACAGGAATTGCAAACCCCCCACTTGCAAGGAGCTGGCACAGCAGCAGCCATTGCACCTCCTGTGGAGGGGCTGAGGCAAGAGAAGCGGCGGGCCAGGAGCGCAGGGGACCTCCCATCACTGAGGTCAATGATTTTCCTCCCAGTATTGTGAAATGTGGATATTTCTAAAAGATGTGTCAGTAACGACACCCTGCCACCAGGGTGGCCAAAGGCATAAGAGAACCCTAGATTACAGGTAAGGAATTAGACAGGTATCCCAGCTCACAGCTCCTGTGCTAGAAGGCTGAGATGTGAATGTGAGCTCCAAAGCCCTGGCTTCTACCACCCCAAATACCAGGCAGCTCTTCTGCTGATCTTGGCAATCACCCTAAATGCGTTCTGGAGTCCTTCCTCAAGTTCACCCTTGTGACCCACTCAGAGAGGTCTGGCTCTCCACCCTCCTACCCACAGGAGGCATCTTTGGGCCTCTGTGGCTATGTATGTGCTTCTCTGGGTGTTTCCTTACCTTCGTATCTGCCAGCAGAGTCGCTGGCCTTCTGTGGGGTGGCCACGCGCAAGAAGATCTGCTGCCGCCACGAGTGCCGCCGGGTCTTCACAGGGGTCTCCCCCACGTCTTCCAGGTGGTCTGCTTTGGATTCAAAATCCCTAAAATTGCAAAAGCCACCTGGTTTACTACTGATAGGAAGGTGTGAGAGGGTTTTTCTTTCTTCTCTAGCTTAACTTTTGCTTTGTACACAAAGCACTACATTATGAATTATCTTTGTATAAACAAACACATTTTGATAATCAGAAAAGTTACATCAAACTCACAGCGAGCCAATATTCCTAAAGAACTGGGCTCTAACCGGACGCTCTCCACAAGAAGAGCAAGACTGCAGGCCTCAAAGTGATTTCTACGGCAAAAGTATTAAGAAATATGCTCCACAGAGCACAGCCTCCAATCTGGCTTCTCTTGGTGTCACTTCCAAAATAAGAATCTGCCCTAGCTGTGTGTAGGAATATTTCTTCTGTACAGACCTATATCTCTGTGATTGTCACAAAAAATGAGAAAAAAGCTATGGTTTAACTACACAGAACCATCAATGCAATAATTATGCAGTCATACTTGCTAGTGATGATTATTTAAAAATGCATTTTAAAAACTACAAAATAAGGCACAATTGTCAATACATATAAAAATACGAACTAATCACTAATTTTCTTCGGACTTGCAAGACAACCTGGGGGAGACCTCTGTCAAGTATGTAACTCAAGGAAACAACGGGTCCCAGCCGATAGCTCAGACTTCCTCCCTATCTAGGAGGGCAGCCACAGGCTCCTCTCTCCACCTGAGAGGAGACCACCCTTCCATAGGGAATTGGCAACTATGGGTTAACTGTATTATTAGGCAACTACGGGTTAACTAGGTAACTATGCTCTTGGTAGCATGTACCTGAGCAGCCATGACAACTCCTGTCATCTGTCACCAAAGGAGTATAACAGACTCGGCAAGTCCTCTCAGAACTCTTCGCTCTCCCCATCTCCCCTGCTCCGCTCTGTGTAAATCCTGCTTGCTCTATTCCCAGGGAAACGCCCGTGGAATTAAGCCTCACAGATGTAAAAAGAGGTGCATAAGGAAGCGCGAACTTTTATTTGGGGCTCGTGAGACTGACAGGAGTCACGCGCTGAGCCGCCAGCATCATGACAAGCTGCTCTTGCTTCTATCTTCATGCTAAGAGTGGGTGCTGGGGTCCTTCCTCACTGTTTCCTACTTCACACCACCCAGCACCGTTTCAGATTATCTGTCTTCTGAAGATAACATTAATAAACTAGAGAACAAGTTGATGGCATATTTTTTAAAAATGACAGTCAGTAAAGAACAAAGAATAAGATGAGACATACAATAAATTTAGTCAAATTAATTTTTAAATGGCAAAAGAACGCTTAAAATATCCCCATATATCTAGCAATAATTCAACGTTTTTAACATCCAGATTTGATATATCTAAAGCAAGCCCTACCTTTTTGTGTTCATAAAGTCAGAGGTGTTATTCTCATCTACAGGAGCCAGAAATTTTAGAAAATTTGGCACAGAGGAGGAAGAATGAAGTTTTTTCCGCAGGGCATTACGGTACGAGATGCTGAGAGTTTGGTTGAGAAAAGAGTTTTAGGATAAAGAAATATAAACACACAAACTATAAAATATAAACTTCAAAATTAAAAAAAATTTGTTCTAAGACTAAGAGCAATCAACTCAGTAAGAAATAATTTACACGTGAGATTTAAACTTTCATTTTCGGTCAATGAAATTTCATTTTAAATGAATGAGATTAATGATTTCAAAAAAATTAGTCTATCTTCCAAAGGACTCTTTCTTTCAAACTGAAAGGAAAAAAAAAAAAAGAATTCCTTATTTAATGAGAAAGCCTCTGGTAGGGCACCAATGGGGGCACGCATGCTCGAGTGCAGTGTGTGTGACCTGCAGCAGGATAGAGAGAAGCTTGCCATCAAGACTGTGTTCAGACTTTGATGAAAATTAACAGTAAAGTGAGACTGCTCAGATGACAGCTGGAAACAGTAGGAACACACACACACACACACATACACACACACACACACACACACACAGAAGCGTGGCTGGCCCTCCAGCTCGGACCTCCCGTGCCACAGCGCATGCTTGGGCACTGTGAACGCCCCACTAGGACAACTGCACCGGTCCAGCCATGCGAGTGTGCTCACCTCTTCGGCACGGCATTTCCGCTTTGTTCTCCACTGGAATTATGTTTTAGGTACTTTAAAAAGTTTGGCGAAGAGGCAGAAGGGTTAAGACGAGGAGGAGGAGGATCTGAAGGCTGCCCTGACCAGTGCTTAGAACGGCCCACAGACGGATGGTCCAAGCTAAAGGGCAAGCAGAGAAAGCACAGAGGTTAGAGGAGCGCAGGAAATGGAGCAGAAGGGAAGGAGCCGTCATGGATGGGGAGGGGACTTCCCAGCCTTCTCCCTCATCTCTTTGCCTGGCTAGCAAAGCAGTTTCCAGTAAAAACAGAGCAAGCCAGAGGCCATTCCCAATCCCCATCACTTCCCACTTGTCTATGCTGCTAATAACACTTTTTCCTGTATTTCCTTTTTGAAAACTGACTGGAAAAAACTTTTAAATTAAAAGAAAAACAAAAGAAAAAAATCCAAAGTTGTAAAAAAAATTTTCCCTTTAAAAGAGACAATATCCTGCCTTGCTTTTCAATGTCTTATAGTATTTCCTGTAGCTAGAGCAGAAGAGAGTTCACAGAGGGAAGGAAAAAAGTGGGCCATTCTAGAAAGAGAAAGACAGACAGAGACAGCTTCCCCGTTCCTCTCCTCACCAGTATCTGCCAGGATCCACTACAAAGCTGCCTTCTTAGGGGAGAAAGACAAGCAGTACGGCCACCACCCGTGTCCGGTGTGCAGCCGCAGGCTTGGTAAGAAGAGTGCACCTCTCCGGGTGGACGGTTCTGACACCACCGCAAACACCAAAAGCGAGGAGAGAAGGTGGCAGAGCTGAGGCAGCACAGAAGTGTTGTACGTGCACGGTGTCAGGTGTCAGGAAACGCAACAAGAAACTTACACGGCACGCTTGTCTCTGAATGCATACTCATTAAGCACCTTCTGAGAACGTCCTGTTCCTGTGATCAGTTACCCAGCTGAATTCAAAAGAACCATATCCGTTTCCAATGGCTCTCTGGAGACAAGCTGGCCGGCTCTCCTATGCCAGGGTAATAACATGTTCCTACTTCTCTGGAAACGATTTAGATAGCCCTGCATAGTCCCTCCATCCCTGGGCACAGACTACCCTCATGCGCCTTGGCGCTTCTGGTGTCACCAGAGAGAGGAAGGCAGGAACCGCACCGAGCTGTGGTACTAATTCACACTTACAAGGTGAAGAAACTTCAAAAGACTTCTAAAGTTATTTTTAAAGATATTCTGCCAGGCATGGTGGTGCACATCTCTAATCCTAGTTCTCTGGGAGGCTGAGGCAGGAGGATCACAAATTTGAGGCCAGCCTGAGCAACTTAGTGAGACTCTCAAAATGTTAGAATTAAAATGTTAGAATTAAAAAAGAAAAAAGAAACTGGGGATGTAGTTTAGTGTAAAGGCCTTGGGTTCAATCCCAAGCATCCCCCTATACACATAAAAGACAGTTCTGTGTCATTTATATTTATAGTCTCTGGCACTTAGGATTAAATTAAGCACTAAAAGAAGGGAAAAAAAATCACTAAGGGACCTGAAAAGAATAGGAAAAACTTGTCACCGTACTATTCATCCTCCTAAATGTTAATTTGAGCCCAATTATTAAAACCAGCAAATCTTGTTAGAAAAATCTAGAATTCTCAGTGAAGGAAATTTCAGAAAACATCTGCTCCATGTCTATGACAGAGTCGTTCATCAAATCAGCCCACGTCACAGGTAGCTCAAGACAAAAGTGTGCAGGAAGCCTGGGTCTGGGTCCACGCTAGGTGTCCCTGTGGCCCTCTCCCATCCTGCTGCAGCTCAGCTCCAGGTCCGCATTGAGACGCAGCTGCTCACTCACCTGCTTGCCTATTTCCCCAAGGCCAGCGGCGCCAGCGGCGTGGTCTGAGGAGTAACTGCACCCAAGGAGCACTGCTTCCGCTCATTCCCCTGCCTCGTGACAACGCTCCCACTTGGATGTGGAGCGAGCATCCCCCTGCTCCACACACACTTTCTAAGAGTGCTGGGAAGAACACCCTGTTTCAAACTTTACCTTTTTAAGCCGAGTAAACTCTGACTCAGGTTTCTTCTCCACCCGGTAGGCACACCCAAATACACAGACCTGGCTAGTCACAGGCATGCCTCAGCTATTTACACAACAATTTTTAAGTTTTCAACAAATCTTACTTCCGTTCATGAGGTGTCTCCGTGCTCACCGAGTGATACCTCATAAGCTTTCTCTGACTGACTCCTGGAGACCCCCGAGTGGGCTCTGGAGGTGCCGGGCACTGCACAGGGAAGTGGCTCAGGGTGTTGGCTCGCCTTCGGTAGGCCTGCTGTGGGGACAGCGGAGCAGGCTCCTCTGGGTGATGGCTCTCCGAGTCACTGGACAGGTCATCCGAGGAGCCCAGGAGCTTGAAGGAGCTCTCAGAGACGGGAAGGGCCTCCTTGTCACCCATGGACGGCTCCTGGAAGGAGACAGCAGGTCAGATAGACCACAAGGCAAACTGCAGTTATGTGTCTCTTAGCCCTATATGGGAAGACATTTTAATGCCACCTGGAGGACACCAAAATTACAAGATGGAAAGATTCATAAAATAACTGCTTGTCAGAGACAACGTACTAGTTTGCAAAAGAAATGATAAAAGTGCCCAGATGCAAGAATGAAGGGAATGAGCCATGACACATAACTGTTCTGAGCAGTGTCACAAACAGCTGTCTCTCTCCACAACACAGGACTCTTTACTACTGCTTGTAGAAGTCCAGTGAGTGCTGGACATCTTGCCTTGACTGCTTCACTGAATTCTTTCTTTTTGCCAAGTACATTCACGTATGCTACTCACACTTAAGGCTCTGATTTTGACCCATTGTTGAGATTTAACTCAGTAATCCTGAGGTTAAAAACTGTGTCCTATGTTAGTCCTAGATTATGGAAAATCTCTCTCTAGGCACTCATCACAATTCTGGAAAAAATCACTTAACTTCTTTTTCTTCATCTATAAGATAGCACAGTGAAATTTTTTTTTTTACTTTTTCAGGAATGAAGCAAGAATATATAGCTGTTAGTACTCTGGATGCCGTAAAATGTTACACAAATACTGTTTCATTAAGGACTCATTCATCACTGAATGCTCAAAATTCACTAAGAATCATAACAATCTTATGCTTTATAACAATTGCATGCTTTCAAGACAATCCTTTTTCAAAGGAATAAACTACTGCCACTCATACAAACCAATGCTTAGCACCTAGGATACAGAGGTATCCAATGTTTTTCAAATCAAAAAATATAAAATAAGGGGAAATGTACCAGCTTGTCCCTACTGAAATTGCTAGCAGGGTTAAATACATCAACATAAATACAGTAAAAAAGAATAAGTGAATATCATGGTGGACTGGAAAATCTGAATTCTATTTGTTCATTCAATACAAAGTTGAAGGTCTCTGGGATGACAGGTATTTGAGATTTTAACCCCCCAAAAATTAAGCCTTTATATTAAATGGAGAGAGTATGTATATTTAATTATGTAGGAATTATGTAGAAAAAGCTTAGTTCCCAACATAGTATAAAGTGTTAATTACTTTCATAATTGTAATTTTTCATTCTTCAAAACTATAATTCTGAAGAATCTTTCAATTTAGAGATTAAAAAATTTGTCCTAAACAACACATTACAGAAAACAACCTTTCGCCAGGTGTGGTAGTGCATGCTTATAATCCCAGCACCCAGGAGACTGAGGCAGGAGGACTGTGATGAGTTTAAGGCCAGCCTGGATTACAAAGTGAGACCCTGTTTCAAGGGGGTGGGGGATGAATGAGAATAAATGAATATGGATGGAGGGATGGGGGAGGGAGAAATCAATCAATCTCAAGTAAAGTTATTCTCAATTCTTGTAAACATCCCTTCAGATTACTGACTTAATTGGATGACTGAAAGAGCTTCTCAGGTCTTCTTTGCAACTCCCATATGCTCAATAAGAAGAGATCCAGATACATAAAATTCATATCTTCATGGCAATTTCTCAATTAAATATGAAGAAATGAAAGACATGGAAAAGTGAACCAAAGATAGACCCACACACAGAAGGTTCCTTCAATAAAGGTGCATTTCTCTCAGAATTACCCTAGAAATTAAAGCAATGCATATATCCCCATTTTCTGCATTCCAGAGAATGAAAAATAAACAGTAAACTATTCAAGGTGCCACCTATGGGGGCATAAATTTTTTCCTGGTGTCTCTACTGACGCTAAGCTACCTGAAATCCCTTCTTTCCTACTCACTTCCACAGGTAATGAGAAGACATCATCGCCCCTTCCTTTTCCCAAGCTTTCCCTGGTTCCAAACATAACTCTCTTTTCCTTTGCACCTCTGATATCTAAGTTACCAGTATCTCTATTGCCACTCTCAGGGTTCCTACCACACTTTAATGCTGGGTTGATTTGTATTTGCCATCTTTCTCCTTTTACCTAAGTTCCTACAGGGAAAGGGCTGGGACTTACTCATCTGCATGCAAAAGATAAACCATAATATTTCCGCATACAGGGCAGAATTAGTGTGTATTAGATTGAGACTGGATACCACTAGCAGATAGGCTTTAGAAGCAGTTGTTAAGAGTCTCATTTGCCAAGTGGGCCTGATACCTGCAGACCAGCAGCAGCAGGGGCAGCACTGCCTTGCAACTTGCCAGAAATTTAGCACTTCAACCTTCACCCCAGGCCTAATCTTAGTCTACACTTTAACCAGAACCTCACTCTGGGTGCACCTTAATATTTAAGAAGTGTTTATCTAAGGAAGTGTTCCATGAACTGTACAATATAACAGACTAGTAGATAGCAGTATCAATATAGTGGCTTGCATTAAAGTAGAACAGAAAATACCAGTCTGTGTCACATATTGTTCAAAGTAAATATTGTTTTGTGGGTTTTTAAATTTTCTGTGTCTGTGTAAGTATGAGCATTTGTGAACAATGTCACAATTGTCAAATGTGTTTCTTACTGTTGGCTATGATCTAAAAACTCTGAAAGCCACACAACTAGGAGGGATCTCAGAAGAATTTGAACCATTCCTGTGGCAAGGAGCTAGCCTCCATGAAAACTCTTCATTCTTGCATCAGGGAATGTTTCTATTGCAGAAAGCAAAGCGGCCTCCCTACACAAAACCTAACTCCACTTCCTGGCAGGGACCAGGTCAAGCCACCCACATTTACATATGCTTAAATATCTAGGAAGCAAAATATAAGAGCAAAGAATAGGCTCAGGTTTAAAACCAGGTTGGCTTAAGCACTTTAATAGTCATGAGATCAGCTTATGGGAATGAAGTTTAGTTGCCTACTTAAAAAATAATAATAATGTTAATTATAATCAAGAAGCCAGACTGCAAATAAAGTTTCAGGAATTGAAGTTGTATACTTCTCTAAATTCACAAACCAACTTTTGAGGTTCTCCCAACTATAATTACTTTTATTATTGGAAAGTTTACCAGGGAAATAAATCCCTTGGTTGCATTATGACAAATTAAATCTTAGTTGTCTAAAATTGTATCTTGTTTGTTTATGGAATGGCCACCTGCTTTTTATGTAAAGCTTTCAAGTTATGATAACTACATGACCAGCCTTCCACCTGTGCCGAGAAGTCTGGAAGCACCAAACTTTTTATGACCAGAGATATGAGGCTTTTTCTATTCTTTTTGATAACCCTGTAGACAGAAAATGAATAAGACTTGTTAACTGGCTTCTTCAGGGTGTCATAAAAAGTGAAAGATGCTTACTTTGCTGGTGCTACTTAATGTACTAGACACAGAGCTGTCCAGATCCACGCTGGGAGAATGTTCCTGCAGGCCTCTCGTTTTATTACCCTACACAAAGAAAAGGCAGTCAAATTATGACCTCGAGACCTTTACAAAGTCATCAGCTAGAGGAAGTCTGATCTACTTAAATAAGCTCAAGAAAAATGCATCTACTGAAAAATGCTATTAAACATACATAAACAAAGAGAAAAATCAGTATTTCTGTCATCTTTTTTTAAGTACCTCACCACCCAAAATGTTCACCTTGTGAGTCAGTCATCTGGCAGTGGTGCTAGGCTGGAACAAGATAACTGTCTATGAAGAAAAGCAGGTATTCAAGCAAGCCCACTCAACAGCTCTCTCTCCCAAGACACACGCTGTCATGACAGCCAGCTGTGTTCAGATCAACAAGTATTCCATCCCCTCTGGAGCTCTCAAACGTAGCTCCCCCAACCCTGGCTTTGTAAACGGACTATTTTTCATCATTTCACAGGATGCCGCAAAATTCGCAGAAATATCCTCAAACAAAATAAATTTTACTTTAACTTTCCCTAAATAAAATGTTTGTTTCAAAGAAAATTTATTGTAAAGTCACAAAGAACTATAATTAGACATTGTAAGCTCCAGAAAAGTGTGAAACTTTGACAAAATAAAATCAGACTTTGATTTCTTAGAAGTACCACCAAGGCACTCATGTGATGGTGTGTGTGGGGAGGGGGTGATTTCATAAAACAACTCCCATACTGACACATTTGTGTTCTCTGCTTTTCCTACAGAACTGAAATTGACAATTTTTTCTATAAAGGGCCAGGTAGCAAATACTTCATGTACTGTAAGCCATACAGTGTCTATAACAAGTTTTCGTTTCTGAACAAAAGCAGCCTTAGGTAACAGGTAAATGTAGCTGTGATTCCATAAAACTCTATTTATAAAAACAGAAAGAGAGGGAGGTGGGTGAGATTTGGCCCAAGGGTCAAATAGTAAATTGCTGGTACAGATCTGGACACTTCAACAGTAGCTGATAGTAACTGGTTGTATACGCTGTCCTTAGCAAGACCAGAACCTACACCTCAGTGTAATCTAATCTGTGGTCTCTACAGGGACTGGCCAAGAAATAACAACGTTTTGAGAGACAAAGCAATCAAAATATGAGTCAAAAACATTTCTTTTAAAACCCAAAACTAACCTAAAAACAATTTAAAATGTAGGTAATACCAAAATATTTTATAATTTATGAGGAACACTGACATTTAAGCATAGAATTGAACTTTTTGCTCATTTAAACGGTGATTTAGAGCTGGGCATGGTAGTGCATGCCTATACTCCCAGCATTGATGAGGCTGAGGCAGGAAGACCACAGCAAGTTCAAGGGCTGCCTGAATTACATAGTGAAAGTGAGATCTTGTCTCAAAAGAAACAAACAAACAAACAAAAAAGCAAACAGAAGTCATTTTACTTAAGTCAGAAGAAATTATACTACTTACCCGGGACAAAATACTTTCTAAAGATTCTGTTAAAGACCTCTTTGCTTTGTTTTTCAGCATATCTAGCCTAAATCGAGGAGCACTGGCTGGTAATTCACTACCAATATTTTCTGCTGTAATCTGTGGTGCCTGGAAAAGTGAAACAGCAAAAAGTTAAGTCATTTGTAGCTTCTTTGTTTGTTTAAGAAAATGAGGAATCTCTAGGATGTACCTTTATTTTTGGTACCAGGGATCGAACTCAAGCCCTTGCAAGGCGGGCGGTGGAACCACTGAGTCAAAGCCCCAGCCCTCTAGGATGTACCTTTTGAAACCAGGTTGTCATTGTGAACCCACGATCTCATCCTATCTGCTCCTGAGTGGCATGGCTTCAAATGTGAGAAATAATTTCACCACAAAGGGTTGCTCTGACAACCCAGAGTGAAATGGAAGTGAAGCCAGTCGATAAAAGTAGTTTAGAGCTCAGAATCTGTAGCTAGGTCAGAGATCTGTAACTTTCCACATGTGGACTGGTGCAAGTCCCTTACCTCTCCAAAGCCTTACTTTCCTCTATTCGCAACACTATGTTGTGAGATTAAATTAGGCAAAATACACTGAGCTTGGGCTCTAGCATGAAAGTAATTATTATTAGCTTTTCAAAATAAAGCAATCACTTACCTTTTGGAGCATTTCAGAGATTAAGACAAACTAAATTTATCAGCTGAGAATCCATTCTGCCTATTTCCCTTCATCCCTCTCTCTATGTCCGTTTTCCTCACTTTTTCTTCTTTCTCTTTCCTGTGACTTCCATAATCCCTCATTTCCTCTGCAACCAGTTCTTCTCTCTTAACTAACCATAACACGAAAATAGGAACGTAACAGAGCTTGTCTGACAGCCACTAAATGAAGTTTAATGTTAAAGGAGGTATGTTTATGAAAAACAAAAACTAAAAACAAATAAAAAGAAACCTCTAAATTACACTGTTTCTTATATAGATTCTCACCTGATTGCTTCCGGCTAGACATGATTTTGTTAGAAAAACACACTAGCAAATTCCCCCACTACTCTGACGAGATCGGGTGCCTTCAGGGTGGTATGGCCTTAGATGCTCACTACTCTGAATATGGACATATCCTCTGTTGTAGTAATATATGTATTTCCAGGACACAGGAGCGTGCAGAGACTCCTGACAAATGCTTTTGGAGACTCTACCGGCACCCTCCCCAGAAAATCACTCTCCTCAATCTGACGTTTATGTATCAATTTATACTTTGTATTTATATATATATATATATA